GGACCGCGCCCGGATGCTTGCAAAAAGGTCCGTGAGAAAAAAAACCGGCCTCGTCAGTTCGGGATGGGGCTGCCATCGACGTCGCGAGGCGGCGCAAACAACGGCGCTACCTTGATTTGGTCGGCCCGGCCCGCAGCGCCTCGTCGTCCTGGCTGCGGAGCTCGGCGGGCGATGGGGGCAAGAGGCGCACGACCTCGTCCGCAGGCTCGCGCAATAGCGGCGCCCTGCGCGCCGGCGCAGCCTACCGGAGACGAGCAAACACCGCGTGGGTGGGTCCTGGAGCTCGCCGAGGCGGAGCAACCCTCCAGGTTGCCCTTGGGTGCGTGATGCACATAAGTTCTCCTGCGCTGGGACCGCGGATGCTGTTCGAAAAGGTGCGCGCAAAAAAAATCAACAGGCGCTTGCATAGTTGTGTGGTGGACCTCTACGTTCCCTTTGCAGTCCGGCTGCCCGAAAACGTAAGGGAAGAGTTTGAAACATGCAATGCAGTGTGCCAGTGCACCTGCGATGTACGGTGGCCTAAGTCCTTGCTGGGAGGCGGCCGGGAGCCGGGGCATCGAGCCACCGCTCTGCCTGCATGAGCCAGTTCGCCAGCAGCGGAGGCAACCGTCTCGAGGGGAGCTCGAGCGGTGAGCTGGCCAGGGCCTTCTGCACTGCCACGGCGTTGATGCCACTCCAGCGGGAGAAGAGCCGAGCAGACGGCAGCGTGCGCACTTGCGGCGCGTGCTTGTGCGAGGAACCGCAAGAAGGCGGCCTCAGGGCCCAGCGAGCGGCCTCCTGTTTCGACAGCGAAATCGACGAGGCGGCAGTGCGGCGAGCGCGAGAACTCAGGGTAGATATGGTAGGTTTCGCGACGTTTGGGCCGTGTTGCGGCAGGGGGGCTCGGAGGCATCACGTGGCAACTCTGTGCTGCGAGGTGGCTTGCGGCTTGTGCTGCAGCCGCGGCGGGTCGTCACTTACCGGGTTGCGCCACGGCACAAATGTCAGCGGCCGCCCGGTGCATGGCAGGGGCCATCGCAACCACCTTTGCAGCAACTGTCGCCGCGACCGTGGCTGCTGACATTAAGTTTTGCGCCGCTCGGTCAGCAAACCAACGTTGGCCGCGTCTGCTGGTGTGCTGCATGCTTGCGGCGTGTGTGCCAAGTGTATGCATGTCGTTCCGCAGCCACCGAGTGCAACTCACGCACCACCGTGTCTTCTGTTGACGCCGTCAGGGTTTTTTGACCACGTCGAGCCGCTATGTCTGGATGCCCTCATGCCAGCACTTTTCCCGGATGACACGTACATCGTGGGCTCACCCGGGCGGGTCGTGCCTGCTCATGGCGCCCTCAGCAACGCCTTGTGGGCTCGTGCCCGAGTCCACTTCAACCATGGCAAAACCCGTGTTTGGAACACCGCGCGTGAGGAGCTTCCCAATCTGTCCGCTATTCAGCCTCAACAGAGCGGCGACGTCTGGTGAGGGTGTGGAGCTCGCCGCCAGAACGCTAGGGACCGGTCGTACTTGGTGATCTGACGTCGGACTCTGATGGGAGCGTGGTCCTGAGAATCACGTCCTACCGAAGGAACTGGGGTCCAAAAATTCCTTAAAATTTTTCAGGACAGACTCCTCCGCGGGCAGGCCTAGCTACTACTCTCTCTTGGGGAGGATCGTTGCGGGGCTTCCACTGCACACAATCCGCCTCGTCTTCCAAGGCGGAAAAAAAGGGGGTAAACCGCCTCCATTTCCTGATGCGCACCGGCTATTTTCCGTGGTTCTGCTGGCATTCGTTGGTGAGTGCCTTCTGGAGCTTCCTACGAGTCCGCTGGTTTTGGCCGATACACTACTGCTTCCATTTGTGCTTGGATGGGCAGAAAGACTGGGTGAGATCCCAGAAACCCTTCCATCCATTCTGGCTGGGCAGTTCTGGGCAAGTTTCCAGGAACCCATGTCGAAGAAGGCGATACTGGAAGTCGTTGATGCTGGATCTTTGACCAGGCTGCTTCTGCCGAGGTCTTGCAGCTTTATTCCTTTCAGGTGCAAGTGGATCAATACCACCATTGTGTAGATTAGGAAACGGAAAGCCGCAGATGAGTCTGCTCTTGCCCTCCCACCATTTCTTGGCCAGTGCCACTCTCTCCTGAATGGCGCCGTCTACTTCGGCACATGCTCCCAAATAAAAAGAGGGACTTGAGAAAAACCACGTTTATTTTCCCTTGCCATTGCACTCTTGCCGTTAGGAGGAAATATTGGTGGCTGAAGGCCGCCTCTTCTCCATGGTCACCCAACTTAAGCACCCTGGGTTGCACTCCATCTTCAAAGGAGTAGCACACTCTGTTGGATCCTTTGCCTAACATGGTCATGGGAGTGCTTGTCCAATCTGGGTCTGCCAGATGGCCACCGGTGGCAAAACTCTATCACTTCCGCGAGATGGTGGTGCGGAAGTGTGGGCTTCCTGCGGTTGGCTTTAGGGATGCTGACCACTTCCCCAGCACCTGGTAGGCCCGGTTCTTCCTGTGCCGCTTTTGTTGCAGGAAGGTATTTGCGACGGTCCCACGGTGTGATGACTATTTCCGTGAGCGGAGTCGGACTCTGAGCTTTCTGTGGTTGGTTCCTTCTTCTTTCCAAAAGAGGCACGGGCCCGCTTGTGAGGAATTGTCTCTTCAGGCTCTTCGGTGTTTGAGCCTGAGGAGCTGGACTCCTCTTTAGGGCTGGTTCTTTTGGCCGAAAAATCGGCGGATTCCATCAGACGAACTGGGGTTCGCGCTCTGGCCTTTGGAGGCGTGGGTGGGAGTGGGTGGGCCACCTCCCTTTGTGCGGCGTCCCCATCCTGAGGTGCCTGTTGTGGGGCGGGTGGACTCCCTTTCCCTTCGCCTTTGCGCTTTGCTACCCCTTTCTTCTTCCCTTTCCTTGCCGCTGCTTTGGCTCGGATTTGCGGGGATGGCCTGACTCTGCTGCGAGCGGAGGTTGTTCTGGAGGTTCTGGTTCGGCCAGCTGATTCCCTGTGCGCTGTCAGCCTTCGGACGTGAGCCTCCTCCGTAGGATCTTGGCGGAGATGTGAGGGGTTTCGGCTCTTGGCCTTTCCCTTCTCCCTTGTTTCTCCTTTTTCCTTGCTGTTCTGCGCCAGATCCTCGCGCAAACGATCTCCCCTCCATATGCTTCACCCTGACTCCACCGTCCAGTATGCTCGGGAACATGATCGGGCTGATGAGGCCTCAGCACACCGCTCTACGGCGACGCTGCCTCGCCGCTGTCGGCCGCAGCTGCTTCCGCGCACACTCGCCGCTCGGCCACCTCTTGGCAGGACTCCCTCCCCGCGCTGCTGCTCGCACGCCTTCCTGCCGAAGCCGAGCTCACCGCTTGCCGGCATGCCACCTGCCCTCGCTCAGCCGCCGACGGGGTCCGACGGGCAGGCTTCCCCGCACCACTCTGGGGGGAGACCTCTGCTGCAGCGGCCCCACAGCTCGTTCAACGCTGAGGGTCCATCCAGGGCGGTTCTACGTCGCTGCTTGGACATTTTTGCGAAAGCACTCGCTGGGTTTGATGTGGTCCGCATGGCATGGCCTTACATGTACCGTGTGTACTTCTCTCCGTTCGCCCACGCTTCATGAAGCGGTGCAAGCTGATCGTGTGGTATGGGTTAAATTTCCGTTTCCCAGAGCAGGCCTGGAGCCTCACCGATAGTTTGAACGAAGTCGGGTTTTGTCGCCGCTGCTGCAAGCCCGCCCGCGCCCTACCCCTCAGCGACAACGGAAGTGGCCGCGATACAGACAGGCCGACGAGCTTGCGCGATCTGCGCTCATTCACATCCATTGCCGTGAGCTGTTGGTCTTGCAGATTGGTCTTGGATCGCCGAGGTTGAGGGCGGGGAGGCCCTCAGGCAGCGTTACCAGCACACCACGGTTGGCAAGCTGAGAGTCGTTATTGCGCCAGGCCGTCCGCCCCGCTTGGTCGTTGACTCTTCCGTTTCCGGCGTCACGTCCAACCTTCCCAATCGGTCTTCTGCGAGCTGGGCAGACCGCTTGCTCCTCCAATGCAGACATGCTCCGGGTGATGCCCGAGTCCCGTCGCACCACGTTCGCAGACGAGTGCCTCGATTCCGAGTCCGTGGGTGTGTGGTTTTGTCCGTCTTCCGGACTCCCGTCAACTGCTCTTTCAGGCACTTTCTCTCGTGCTCTGGCTGCCGCCTGAACAGGAGCCGGTTCCGACTGCTTTTTTTTTTGCGCACCGAGTACTTTTCACAGATTCCGGACTTTCACGCAACGGTCAAAATACTGCCCGCCTTTCCGAAGCCTCTGAAGTAGCGGGTCTTTCTAATCTTATAGGGAAACGGACTAGTCCGACCGAGCTGTTTGGTTCCTTATGTTGCTTTCTGATACTAAGCACTCGCTTTTTTTCTCTTTCGCTTGTCTTAAGTTAATCTAATACGAGCAAAACAAGGAACGGACGCGAAAGGCTCTAGGTATATTTCCTTGGTAGATTTAAAATGAATCCTTTTTGTAGAATATTAGCTAGATCTACTAGCAAGATAAACCATTAGAAATTGGGTGTATTCTAGGGCAAAACGATACGGGAAAAAGACAAAAGAAGAAAAGCATGCGCTCCCGTATCTTTACCCTTTTGCGTTTGCCTTTTGCCACCATTCACTCCTCGCTGTTCATTCATCACCGCGTAACCCTTGATTGTTGGTTCTCATTTCGCTCCATTCATTTCGTTCGCACTTTGTTGTGACTACTTGGAAAAACGCGCATTACATGTTTGCAGCCGAACACACGCTAGGGCAATGTCGGTTGGTTTCGAGACTGCCTTGCGATTGTATTCGCCTGGGCGGCTTCAAGATGGTTGAATCATGCAAGAGTTCACGGTGTTCTCATGTGTCGCCAGCCGGCTCTATGCTACATAGTATGCAAGAACGAGTTGAAGTGCCAGCCCAAAACCCGTGATGCACATTGAGATGCTTTTGCACTTACTACACATGGTCGAAGCTTCAAGATAAGCGTTGCCACACCTGGATGTGGGCTTGATGGAGACAAGCACCGGTGCGGATGTCGCCAATGTGCCACCGGTGGGACTGTCTCAGCCATGGTGCGAAAGCCACAAGGTCATGCCTGGATTGGTGTTGTAATGCAGTCCAGGATCGATGTTGAGCAGATGTGGCAGGCAGAGGCGAGCTGGGATCCACGGGCCGACCTCGCCCCGCATGTTGCTACGACTGCAAATGCTGTTGATTACGAGGCCGCTCTTGCCTGTGTTTGCAACAGTTTGTCAGTTTACACATGAGCGTTTTTAGGCCAAAAAAGCAGGGCAGAGCGATTTGCACCTTTCATGTTGAAAGTTCGCCAGGTAGTCATTCCGACGTATGGCCGATGGAAGCCATCGCACGAGCTTGCACCCAACAGGGCCCGATTGAAGGACTGGAAGGAAGCATTTATTCTGGACCACACATTGAGTTTCTTGGCAAGGCCGAGGGTGCAATGGCCATGGCATCTACAATGCTGCATACATTTTGTTACGTCGTTGAGCAACAGCGGCAGAAGGAAAAGCTTGTCTTACGGATTTTTGTTGTGTGCAGCTCTTGACACGCAGCCCTGACCAGGGAAGCCGTGCCCAAGAACAGAGTCACACTCTTTGTTGCGACAGACGTGGAAGCTGAGAATTACCGCAAAGCTCTGCAGGCCATGGTGCGACATCGATTCCCAAACATTTCAAAAGGATAATCTGGTAGCAGCCAGTGCCTCATGCGTGATTTTCGGTTGTTTCGCAGTATAAGCGGAAGATGTAACTATCAATAAAACCGCCCAAAGCACAGACGTCTGCAGGGCTCGGATTGGGCAGATGTGAGGATAACAGTTTCTGCACCGGGAATTCGCGACAGTCGTGCCTGGCCGAAGAGGTGGAGGGTTGCTTTTTCGAAAATGGCACCTACCCGCACATGTTTTTGGCATGCGCACCTTGTCATCGCTCTGGCTGCTGCCCAGGTAACTTCATTTACAAGCATTTCCCTGCAGATACCTACGTGGTGAGTCTGGATGATGACATAGAAGGAATCAAGAGTCTCAGCTCGACGATTCAAAACGCGGAGTTGGAACAAGTGGGTCGCAAGGTGAAATTAGTAGTTCTCTATTGCTCCAAGGTGGAAAGTTCGTGAAGGAAACACGGATGCCGCTTGCATAGATCTGCCGCCAGGTGGGATGTTGTTGGGTGTGAAAACTCAAAACCAGGCATAGGCGGCAGAAGCTTGCTTTCAACAAAGACCCCAGGCAACTTTGTCAAGATCATTTATGACGCGTACAAGCGCATGAAGGACCGAACCCAACAGGTTCCAAACAGGGGAAAGAATCGATGGACATGTTTGTTCTTGGCAGGAGCAAGGTGCGTATTTGTGGGGTCTAAGCACTTCACAGAACCCGCGAGCTCTGAGAAACTTGGCGGCCCTCCGTGACTCATGCTCTCCCGACCCTGATTCAGTACATGGAGCTCTTGTGGCTTCTGAGGTCTAACGGTTTGCTCACTGCGGAACGGCTTGATCAACGGGCAGCATGGCCTCAGCATAGCACCTGCATATGTCGGCTTGGGGCGTGGTTGTCGCATACTGGCGGTATAGGTATAAGTATCGCATTCAAATTCGCACCCAGGTACCTGCACGGCTTCATTTGCCGCCCTGATGCAGCTTCAGACCTACTTCGGCGATTAAGTGATGCCATAGAGGCGGGGCGTCTTTCAGATACCTTCATGATGCTGATGTTGTCCTCAGGCTTCAACTCATGCGCCTACCCCTGTCGCCAGGACGCCGAATTTTCGGTTCGCCATTTCGCCAAGGACAAGTTAGACCGGTCATTTTTTGCATACATTGCCGGGTCGCACCATGTGACGGCATGAATTTCGCCCGTGCTGCAGGACGGCGCCGTGCTGAGATATCGTATGTATGCAGGCCCGAGTGGTGTCCTGCTTCCGGTGACTGACACTTAGACTTGGACGTGTGGTCAATGTTCGATCATTGTGTGTAGGGTCGGAGTTTCTTCGCCAACGTGCAGGTCGCACATCTCCTTTTGCCAACTCCGGTGGTTTGCAGAGCAAGTTTCAAGCTTCCAATGCCAGGAAGACGGAGGCGCGAACTGCAACCCTAATCCTGCAGTTCTGACTTCTGGGGTTGTCCACTTTACGCAGCAGGAGTGGTGTGGTGCGCAGCAGCTGCACGAGCTCTTTCCCAGTTTGATTGGGGCTCCCAGCTTCTCGCCTGGAGCGTGAGGGGGCAAACGTCAGGAAAGTTACTTAACACTTTCAGATTGTCAAACCTATAGTATGCATCCTTTCATTTAGGACCTTTAGGAACATTAAGTTCCAAACTAAGGTGAGGAAAGCGATCCGGCGGGAGTTACTGCAACCACCCAGGCCAAGAGTCATGTGGTTCCACGTGCAGTTTCGTTGCTTCGGAAGGGAGCACCACTTGTATCAAGCCAAGGATACAGTGTTAAAAAACAGCCTTCGACAACGGGTTTGAATCTTGATCAGTCCCGGACAAGTAGAGACTTGCAACCAACTGCTGGCCAAGAGTGGCAGACGTGGAAGTAGAGAGCCATGCATGTCTGCCGCGCTGTTGCGCTGTCTTGAAAAAGAGTACTTCAAAATCTCTCGAGAACGCAATGCCAGGTCAAGTTCATCTTTGGGCCTGTCAAAAGGCTGGGTTGTGTCGTTCGAAGCAGCAGTTTGGAAGACCCTGCCAGCGACTTGCTGTGCCACTCTATCTAGTGTGCTCGGCGAAGTACCAAATCCTTTACACGGATTTCCCGCAGCGGAGTGGTTTCAGTTGGTTGTTGGCCTTGTCGTCGATGCCTCCATGCTGGAAGGCACCCCCGTACGATTCGACGTCTGGGTGGGCTTGGCCGTTTCATGGTGCCGATATTGAAGGCTGGAGCCGATGACATCTACAGCACCCGAAAGTCAGAGAGCCTTCCGTCCAGGCAAAGAAGCGGAAAAGCATCCGAGAAATGAGGAGTATGTTGGCCCGTGCCAAGGACGGGCACGGCCCCATGGGGTGATTTTTTGGTGGCTTCTTTCTTCGCATCTGTCGCATCTGTCGCCTGGCCCTGGCCTGGGACCCGAGGCCTTCATTACCAAGGGGAAGAAGGCTTCGCGCACCGCTGCTCAGCATCCTGGACGACATTTGCCCGGGCTTGTTTCTTGCTCGTGATGTAAAACATGTAAAACGCAGGCGAGGTTGTTTCGGGCGGCGGAGGCAGTGTTGAATTGAGTCTTGCTTGCTGTGTCAGGAACTCGTCGGCTGTCGAGCTTGCTGCGAGACGAAAGAAGAGGACCCGCTTCATGACGCGGGGTCATTCATGTCATCCTTCCAACTCAGATGGCAGGATGGAGATGCGGGCTGAGACGGCGCTGGCCTGTGACCGCAAGATCATTTCTACGCAAGCATGGGATCTCATGGACGAGGAGCACGACCCCAACCATACACCACTCTTGCGCATGCATGTTTCGGCTGAATGCCTTGACAAGTCAGTCACAGCTTCTCGGCTTTATAGAAAAAGAGCTGCCAATGCCGGCATGGCTCAGGACACCTTGCGCTTCGCCGCAAACACGAAAACACCGGGTTCGGCATCACACCGTCGTGTCTATGCTTTGATCAGACGGGATCGCTGAAGTCATATGTTGCATAAGGCCGTGCAGACTTCTTCCAAAGGTAGCAGTTCCACCAGACCCCACCCAGGCTATGCAAAGTACTCGAAGGCCCGCACCGTGAAGCAGGCCATGAGCCTGGGATGGAGGAGTCTTGCCTTAGCAGATCTTCTGGTTCATCGTAAGCTTACAAAAGCTTCCACACACATGCACAATATACCAAGCCCTGAGTCCCTGTCCAGTGTCCAACCATGCCCTTTCACTAGCTGTCCTGTCCTGCCAGCGTGCTTGATGCGGGACACGTCCGAATAGTTGTGTGCTCGATTGTGCTCGGCCAGCAAGAGAGGCAACATCCTGCGGATTGCTTGTAGTCTGCCTAGAGTTATTGTTGCGATTGTGCCGGGTCGGTAGTTAGTGAGGAATGATGACCGGCGATTCGATATTACGCATGGATTCGCGAAGATAGCGCCGTGGTTGCCAGTCGAGAAGCTGTAGCCGTGACTGCTTGTGCAAACAGGGGCTGCAAGTGAATGCAGGGCTGCGTGGAGGATGGGATGGCTGCAATAAGGTCACGCTAGACACGAAGCCGGCCAGCAGTGAGTGTCTGGCTACCGCCTCAGACAGATCAGATAGTAGTGAGTGGCATTGTCGAGATTTTGAGCTTTTCGCCGTCAGTGATGTCAAGGTTGAAGACGAGCAGCGCGTTATCCCAGCGACACCTGCTGGCCGTGCAGTGCCCATTCGACTTGCCGAGGCCGGTCACAGCAAGTTTTCTGCCAAAGGCTGCAGGCACATGCTTGCTTGCAGGTTGTCGAAAAGAATCCCGGCATAAATCTCAGCCGCGCGCCACTGGGCCCAGCACTTCATCTTGGCTTACAGGGAGTCTTTGGGGCTCAACGAGTGCCACCACTGACTGGAGGCTCGTTTGGCCACTGTTGAGCCGTTGCCCGGCTTTCGACGTGGCGGCAAAGGCTCCGGTCGGCTGCCATGCTCCATCCCTCACTCTCGGGAGCAAAGTTGGGTGACCTATGCGCCAGGGTTGCTGGGCCAAGCTGGCTGCCAAAAATGGGCTGCTTGCCGAGGCACATAGATTCAGCCAGCCGTGCCTGCAAGAGGTTCGTTGTCCGCTCGGCAGGTGCCACTTCCAATCTTCAGAATACTGTTGCATTGGGGCAACACGGGCTCCTCGGAATGTGGAGCCTGGAGGCGCTCTGGAACTAGAGGTAGCCCCGCAACAGGCAAGATGTCCAGAATAGACATCTTTGAGCAGAGCAGCGGCCACCCTTGCCATGACTGACAAAATGCGGACAACGGACTCATGGGGACATCAGCACCTTTCTTTCGCATTGCACCTCGCGTCGCTGAATAGGTAATCTTCAGCACAATCAGCAGAAACGGTTGTTCCAGTTTGTCAATGCCGGTTCTCGGGGTTAGGATTCTGGCGTTGACTGACGATGACTGAGGTGCTGATCCGATCTAATTTGATGAACAGTCATTCGGCAATGTTGTAGCTCGAGATTCAATTTACATGCGAATCCACATGCCCTCGGAATGTCGTGTGACATTCAAGAAGTAAATCGATCTTCCTGAGATTACATGGTCACATCTGCTTGTATGCGTCGTTTCAGAGAAAGCGCGGGCAATATCCGAATATGGAATGCGTTGAGACTCCGGGACCCAGGCTGCTTGGCCTTTGCACGGGCCCAGGGTCCTGCGCTGTCGGCGGCGCTGCGGCGACTGGGCGCCGAGCCGACAGCATTGCGTCGCGTGGCTAAGGGGCAAACGTGTTGGTTGCAGATTCGACCGTGTTTTTTTGTTTCCCCAGCGCACGGGTGTGTGAGTGCGTACATATATATATATATATATAAATAAATATAAATATAAATATAAATATAAATATAAATATAAATATATATATATATATATTTGTGTGTGTGTGTCTATGCGTGATGTATGCTGTATGCAAACCTCTATGTATGTGTCAATCTGCCTTTGTCTGTGTGCATGGCTGTGTGTCTGCGCCTCTAGCATGCACAAGATCAGAAGTGTTAACATAAGCATCTACGGATCTACGTGTATACGCACCGAACTGAGTGGCCGACTGGCTGACTCACAAAGTGATGATCGACGTGTCTAACTGACGTCATGAAGAAACTCAGAAATCAATGATACACGATGAATCATCATGTTGTTTATAGAAATGTCCACGAGCGTGTGTCCCCGCATATTACGCGTGTTTGTCAAGGGTTGGCTGAGGGTGGGGTCTTGCAGGCCGTGGGTCGTGTGGCAGTTGCTCATTGAGTGTTGGCATAAAGCAGAGGAGTTGTCCTCTTGAAATTGGATTTCGTGCGGCCTTGAGCTGTGTGCACTTGGAGCTGAACGCGGCCCGGCGCTGTGCCTGCGAGTCCGGGGTTGCTTGGGTGCCATGCTTGGTGGAGCTGCAAGAAGACATTTCTCTGTCTAGTTATCTTTTCGTATATACGTCTGTACTCATACAGGCGCACACTACCATGTATGTATGCGGAGCTTGGCAAAACGGAGCCTCTGCCAGCGTGTCACAATGCAAAAGGAAGTAGAAGCTTCTGAAAGAGTCTGCAACCATTCCAAGAAGTCCGCACCCAGGTGTTGAGCAACGGCTGGACAGGAGTGCGTTGAAGTTCAGCAGGTTTCTTGAAGCAAGTGCTGCATGCCGGATGTGTTTTTGGTCGAGAGCAAAGCGCAGAACCCGTTTGAGGTCATCCTCGGGCGGTGTTGCGGTTGCTGCGACAGAGCCGATCAGATGCGGAAGCACAGAGGCTGAAGGTTGGCACGGGTCGCAGCTCAGGGGACCGCATACAAGGATGCACACGGTCTACCACAGGTGCCATAACCTCGGGTGCCAGAATGACAGAGCTCCCACAATCTCCCCCACCGCGGTTGCATGTATTTGCTGCTATTTGCTTGTTACAGGAATTGCCACGGTACAAGGTCGAAGAACCAGCGCGCATTGGCTAACTCAGTGCACACTCAAAATGACTGCCCAGTGCCCAACCAACGCAAAGATGAGCTTCGGCACGCATCCCTGGCAGGTCATGTTCCAGGCGAGAAATCTGCAAGGGCTAGAGGTGGATCCAAGAAGCGAGGTTCAGGGAGAAGAAGAGCGGAGGAGCCACCCTCAAAAGTGAATGTGGCAAGCTTATTGCAGCGAGCCCTTGACGTTAAGGCCGAGCAGATGGATGCAGGACCACTGGCCTCGGATGGGAGTCCCAAGAGCTCTACACCTGAAACTGAGACACCGCAGTCCTTACCAGGAGCCACAGGCGCAACATGCCAGAAGGGGGAGGCGCTGCCGTCGGTTCCAACTCCGAGCACAGCAGCACCCGAGTCGCCGACATCAGAGGAGGATAAGAGTTTGCCCAGTGCCAAAGGAGCCTTGTTCCAGGGGTGTGGGCCCGGCACCGGCCCAGCTTCGCAACCATCAACTTTACCGAGTGCTGGGGGCTCTGTGGCAGAAGTTCCGATGGTGAAGGAGACAGAGGAGGATCCTTGGCGGACCAGTAGAGAGCTTTTCCTAAGAGCAGACCCATGCCTGGCACACACAAACGTTGGCCGGAAGCGTGTAAATCTGCATCTCGTGGGTGTCGTCTTAGGTCGCCGTGCTGTTGGGTGGGCGGGTTCATCGCCAAAGGAGCCTTGACTTCTGCAGCGCAGAGGCAGAGGTGAGGAGCCACCAAGATGTGCGCATTTTCAGTTTGTTTTGAACCAAGCTGGTCCTTCTTATCCCCTTTATCGCTTTGTAGCCGGGGCTGATAAAGCGTGGTCAGCCTCCAGCCTAGGAACTTGAAGTCTCTCTTCGCCTGCAGAAGTTGAGGCCTGACCCCAGAAACAGAAAGCTCTTTCGTGAAAGGGTCAGAGCGATATTCCTGTCTCAGGCTCTGTGTCGATTGTCCTGTCTTTCGGCGAACTGAGCCTGGGCGCCGGCCGGTGAAGGGAACTTGCAGTTCAAGAATCGGACACTGCTAGGATTGCGGCGCTTGTCGCTGTGATTCGGACGCTTGCATGCCAAGCTACAGCTGGAAAGTTCCAACAAGAGCCGCTGGCCGCTCTGTAGGTTGTTCCGGAACAGAGGTGCCAATCTCAGCTGTAGCTTGTGTGCTGTGTCGTCCTGGTGGGATGGGGCGTCAAAGCTTCCATTGTCGCAAACCAGCGCTGCGATGGACGGATGAAGCTAACCATTCAGAAACGAATCTTCATGGTCTCGGAGGTAAAGTTCTCATCATCCTTAGAGTTACGCTTGTGGCAACCCGAAAATCCTGAATCAAAAGCTTGTGATAGCTGGTGAGGCAGTGGAAGCAAGGCACTTAGCTGCAGGGGCAACAGCAGCCTAAAAGGAGTGGCGGCCGATCGATTCTTGAGCCATGCCATTTGAGGTGCCTCGTGGTTTGAACGCTTGAAACGAGTTTCGACGCTGGTTTCATGTGGGTTGCCTACAAATATTGGCGTCTTATCGAAAGCAGGTAGGTAGAATGTGCTGTGCACTCGGCGTCAGATTACTCAGAAAACGGGGCAGCATCTGCGTGAAAGGATAGCGAAATTAGTTCATGTCGCCATGGCCGAAGGCAGGAGGATTCGAGGCCAAAACGTGAGGTGGGACAGAGCCGGGCTCTTTTGAGAAGTTTGTTGAGCGTCAACCTGGACAGGTGATGACGAAGAGGACAGTCAAGTGTCCGTTCTTGCCACATCAAATATCAAGACAGGCAGCAATCATGATAGGTTGCTGTGATGACCCCAAGAAACTTGCAGTTTTAGTGGCTCAGGAAGAGTGCTGGAGGCATGTGTAGTAAAATGCGCAGCCATCATGTGTTGCAATAAGGTTTTGTTTGTCAAGCAGAGTGTTTTGTTCCTGCTTGCGGCATGGAGGTGGAGGTGCAAGGTCTGTCTGGCAACCTCCTATGTTGCTTGGAAGTGCAGGCCGCCCAAACCGTCGCAGATCTGAAAGAGTTGATTCACAAGGCCACACACATCAAGACAAACTTGCAGAAGCTTCTGCTGGGCAACGAGCTGCTGCGTAACACGGATTCTTGCGGTGAGATCCTCACACAAGGAGCAAATCGCATTCGACTTGTCGTAATTGGCTGAAAATGGTTCAACATACTTGTCGTGCACAATGTACAACGTGCTGTTACTGGGTCGCGGCAGGAACTGTCAACGAGATAGCTCTGCTGCAGACCGACAAGTGGATTGAAGAGGTTGCACAGGATTGGCGTCGTTTACGGAAGGCTTCGGAAGCAGTTCGCAATGACAAGGATGCTTGGTTGCACAGCGTTGTTTCAGTGATAGCAGTAGTAGCAGTAGTAGTAGTAGTAGTAGTAGTATTAGTAGTGGTAGTAGTAGTAGTAGTAGTAGCAGTAGTAGCAGTAGTAGTCGTAGTAGTAGTAGTAGTAGTAGCAGCAGCAGCAGCAGCAGC